AACCGGCTTCTTAGAATGTGCTCTGGTCCGCGGCAGTGTGAGTCCCTGGTATCCGATAAGAAAGCAAAAGCCTGCCATCATAATCGCTCCCGAGTCCCGGTTCAGCTGTTACGACGATGTTCTATGATTAACTTGCATTTGCAGATTAGATTCTACAAGAACCTGCAATGGCGGTCTGCTTCAGCGCCGCATTTCTATCAGCACAGTATTTTGCTGATATTTCTGAGTATGAGTGCATTGGATCTATTATAGATTACAAGGCTATATACATTGCTGAGTTAGGAATATATTCCCCACGAGCCGTTTATGTATTTTGTGTGAATTTGCTTTCGGTTTTGGAATATATGTATAGAGAGAAAAGGTATGCATGAGAATGAATATTTCCTCAGAGCAAGAGATGCATTTGGCCGGTTTCGGTTATGTCTTCGTTAGAAATACAATATGTATTTCTGACCAATATATTCATTCTCATTCATACCTTTTCTATATTTGACGCAGTGAACATTGTCCATTTGTGTGAGTGTGTATGTGTATGTATGTACACACACAAACACACACACACACACACACACACGCACGCACGCACACACACGCACACACACACACACACACACACACACACACACACACACACACACACACACACACACACACACACACACACATATAGCGTATATGTGAGTGAGTGAGTATGTGAGTGGGTGAGAGTGAGTGTGAATGGGCTTGATTGAGGGAGGAGGGAGGGAAGTGAAAGAGAATGGGTGGAAACAGGAAGGAGGCGAAGGGGGAGGGAGAGAATGGAAAGAATGAGAGAGAGAGAGAGAGAGAGAGAGAGAGAGAGAGAGAGAGAGAGAGAGAGAGAGAGAGAGAGAGAGAGAGAGAGAGAGATGCCTGATAATTTAAGAAGTGTTTCCTGCATCACTGATAACCAGTCATGACCATTATATGATTTTTTTCGCAGAGCCTGCAACTGTTGAAAGGAAGAAGGTAGAAGATCCTAATTTCGCGGTAGAATGTTATAATTACTGAAGTAGAATAAGGTTATTGATCTTTGTATTGCGACTTCCAAATCATTTATCCACTTTCGCTGTGAAGGTTTTGAGGATATGCAGGGAAACCCAACGTTAAATTCTGCCTCGTATTTCTTGGGCAGATGCCACCGGAAGGCAAGTAGCAGACTGCCCGAGCGAAAGGCGTTAGCGAACTCCTTTGCAACATTTACCCTGTATCCCAAGGCGTAATATTAATTATTGCTAATCTTGAATTCCTTGACGATGCGGCAGTATTTCCCAGAACAGAGCAGCCGTCAGGACACGCTGGGATCCCAGTCTCAGGCGGATGAAAGTTCTGAGGAGGCGCCTCGCACAAAGCCCGAGAATATCTTCAAGTTGACGTGACAGGGCGAGGGATGCGGTCAAGGGCAATAAAGGGGGCAAGGTATGGCCCCGAGTGCCTTCGGTTCGTATCGAGAAGCAGATCATCACTGTTAACTGACAATGCACTCAGCCAAGCGGTCTGGCCAAGAATGACTGGTATTTAACTTGACAATACGACTATTATAAATACGTGTAGTTTTCAAGTATAATGTTTCAAAGTCCTCCTCGTAAATGCGAGCTATCATGGATCGACAGTCCAGCGAGACTGGTGGAAGTCTGCGAGCCTAAGACGGCTTTAAAAAATATGTTTCATACTTCAGAATTTTACCAACTCGAACATAAAGCAAAATCGATCCGGGCTGAAACAGGGGAAGGAAGTTTTCATCTCTCTTGCACTAAAAGCCAGTCAGCAAACATCCAAGACAGGAGGTGAAATTGAACTCTAACAAAAGAAAACAAATGTAAATTTGCTGCCTTCAGACCGCACGCCCCTTTCCTCTGGATCTTTTAATAAGTGCGACCCATAATTAGACGCATCCGGAAATTTTTCTGTTTGGACAAATGTTAAGGAAGGTTCAGTACTAGAGTTTATGAGATGCGCATCTGCGGAATCTTGACAGGTGGAAGAATGCAATAAACAGTCGTGCCATATGACTCCAAAGGCATCAAACAACCCAAGTGCCTTAGTGATGGAAAATGCAGTTTGCCAAATTCAGCAGTCAACCTCTCAGCTGGTTTCATGATCGGCCAAACCCAGTATGATGAACGTTATGAAAACTTAACATTCGGGATTCAGGACGTTTTCAGGATTATCACGGAATTACTGGAGATTATCAAGACGAGGTGGATAACTTTGTGGTTTTCTTAAGTAAGTTATTACTAACAGAATCTATTTTTGTGCCAGACCGTCCGGATAAAGAGTTCAGAATTAATTTTACATTATACATTTTCCAGTGTTCCATGTCATAGTGACAGGTAAAACTTTACACTCACCCGGAGATGATTCTGATCTTTTCGTGGCAACAATTACAAGCAATTCATATATTAATGCATTTTTTATGTGTTATATAGAGCACGAGTTTGCATTGCAAAGTTAGTAGTATACAAAGTGAGCGATTTGTCAGCAGTTTGCTAAAATTTTATAGCTATTAAAACAAGTGAAAAAAGTTGATCTCGCAATTTACGACGTGGATTTCGATTGCCACTGCACAAAAGACAACTTCAGTCGGATTAAAGAAGCAAATGATATATTCTCCAGTGGAAAACAACGCAAAACAGGTCGATACTAGCACCGAGATGTTCCAATTACACCCCCCCCCCCTCAAAAGAGAGAGAGAGAGAGAGAGAGAGGGAGAGAGAGAGGGAGAGGGAGAGGGAGAGAGAGAGAAAGAGAAAGTGGAAACTATCGTCAGTGCATTGCCTTCTCCCAACGCGTGGGGCAGCTGTTCCCTCCGGTCGTCGCCTCCCGAGTAAGCGCTCGGCTGCAAAAAAGGACTGTCTGGCGCTGCCCTCCTCCCGAATCTTTCCTCCGCCAGGTATCAAGCGCTGGGTGATGGACACTTCGGCTGCGTCATAATGTCAGATATTGCCTTCGGTCGATTTTTGACACGGGGAGCCTCTGGAAAATGTCGAGGCAGGAGAAGAGGAGATAACTGCCACCGTCTCCTTCGACAGTAGCTCCCATCACCAGAGACATCGGGAAGTAAAGAATCAGAGGAAATGAACTCAAATGGGCAGCTAAAAGCTTTGGGCAAAATGCTTTTATGACGGAGAATTCCCGAACGAGAAGAGGTTCAAATTAAATTTTACCTTTAATGAGACTTTTTAATGAGATCGTGAAGTCTTCTCTCAAGGAAAGTCAATCCAAACGGCCTCGAGAAACTAACTCCTCATCTTCCTTCTAAACAAATACGATCCATCAAGAATTATAGACACGATAGCATTCTAAATATCCCCAATTGCTATGAACAGTCCGTCTGCCATTCTGCTTTAAACTCCTTTTCAAGCCGGGAACCGACCTCATTCAAGGGTAAGGGACTAAGGGACGCTGAACACAGATCGAGTAACAGCGGCCGATAGTCCCACGCCAGAGATAAGCGAATCTCCTGATTAAGAAATCATTTCACTGCTGTGAGTAGAGAGGGAGGAAGGGGGGAGAGGGGGATAGAGGAGGGAGGGAGGGAGGGAAGAAGGCAGGGGGGAGGGGGAGGGAGGGAGGGAAGAAGGTAGGGGGGAGGGGGAGGGAGGGAGGGAAGAAGGTAGGGGGGAGGGGGAGGGAGGGAGGGAAGGAGGGAGGGAAGAAGGTAGGAGGGAGGGGGAGGGAAGAAGGTAGGGGGAGGGGGAGGGAGGGAGGGAAGAAGGTAGGAGGGAGGGGGAGGGAAGGAGGGAAGAAGGTAGGGGGGGAGGGGGAGGGAGGGAGGGAAGAAGGTAGGGGGGAGGGGGAGGGAGGGAGGGAAGAAGGTAGGGGGGAGAGAGGGAGGGAGGGAAGAAGGCAGGGGGGAGAGGGGGAGGGAGGGAGGGAAGAAGGCAGGGGGGAGAGAGGGAGGGAGGGAAGAAGGCAGGGGGGTGGGGGAGGGAGGGAAGAAGGGAGGGAGGGAAGAAGGTAGGGGGGAGAGGGAGGGAGGGAGGGAAGAAGGCAGGGGGGTGGGGGAGGGAGGGAGGGAAGAAGGCAGGGAGGGAGGGAGGGAAGAAGGCATAGGGGAGAGAGAGGGGGGAGGGAGGGAGGAAGGCAGGGGAGAGAGAGAGAGAGAGACAAACAAACACATAAAGAGAACAGAGGGAGAGAACCACAGAGGGGGGAGGGGAGGGAGAAAGAGAACCCTCTCGGCAGCAGAAAGACGAGGCAAACCCAACCCGTATGTGACACGTCTGCTCCGGGATGGAATCTGCCACGACTCCGCTGATGCCGGCCAGCCTCACCGCATGTGCTAATTTCTTCCTGCACTTTATCACAAGCTTTGAGGGGGAAATACAACGCTTAAGTGCGTGTTTTATGGCGCGAATAAAGCCCGTGGAAATAAAATAGCCGATTTGAGGATGTATATTGATTTGTCAAGACGGATAATGCGTAACATGCAAGATTTATTAAGTCATTATTCTCGTACAACGAGTAAAGATCAATAGAAAGATAGGAAGTAAGAGAGAGAATGGAGAGGGGAAGAGAGAAGAGGAGAGGAGAGGAGAGGGAAGAGAGAAGAGGAGAGGAGAGGAAAGGGGAAGAGAGAAGAGAGGAGAGGGGAATGGGGAAGAGAGGAGAAGGGAAGAGGGAAGGGGGGGAAGAGAAGAGGGAAGAAAGGAGAGGGGAAGAGGAAAAAGAGGAGAGGGGAAGAGGAAAGAGGGAAAAGAGAAGAGGGAAGAGGGAAGACAGAGAGAGGAGAGAGAAGAGAGAAGAGAGAGAGAGAGAGAGAGAGAGAGAGAGAGAGAGAGAGAGAGAGAGAGAGAGAGAGAGAGAGAGAGAGAGAGAGAGAGAGAGAGAGAGAGAGAGAGAGAGAGAAACAAGAGAAGAGAGTAAAAGTAAAAATAAAAGAATGCGAAGCAGATAAAGAATGAAGAGGGAAAGAGAGAAATAATAATCCGAAGCATCGGCGAAGAAGACAGAGAGAGGGGGAGAGAAAGAAGACATAGAAGAGTGAAAAGAATATTCATAACTATTTGTCATTGATCGCGTTCTGCGCGACTCCCTCTCTCTCGCCGCCTCCTCCCGGCGCCCCGACCGCACAGCGAAGGCGTCCTGCGTCCCGAGGCAGAGCCAACAACTAGGCCCCGCCAGCCCGAGACACAGAACCGGCGATAAAAGGGCGAGGAAGCAGCAGAGAAGCAGAAAACAGGGAGGATCTGGCCGAGTCCCGCGCGCACGCGCACGCGCTCGCTGTTTACGAACGCCTCGGACTCGACGCCTGTACCTCGGCGGCCCTCGAGGACCAGCTCTGCCATGGATTCCGGGCCTGCGGGCGACGTGGGCGCGGCGGCCGAGAACAGGGAGGCAGCCGAAGGTAAGGGCAAGGCGCAGCAGGAGAGGAAGCAGGGCGGCCAGCCTCGTGCTTTGCGGCCAAACGGCGAAATTCCCTGAACTTGTCCAGGAGGAGCCGAGGCGTTGCTGGCGCTGGTGGCAGAGGGAGGCAGGGAGGGAAGGCCTTTGTTGCGAGAAAGGCATTAATAATGCAGGGACAGTCTCCTTGAAGCTTCACGGTTTTCAGCTATTACTTCACGATTTTCGCTTGTTTTTGTGCGTTTTTCCTCACGAATTATTCTCAAGTGGAATTGGATATATTGGTTTGGATGTTTCTTATGAGAATTAGGGATACCTCAGTGTTTGTGTGATGATATTGAGTATGAGGCTTTCAGGTCAGTGTATGGTATAGCTAGAGAAGGGAATAACGGTTTGGGGAGAATAAAGATCGCAGAGTTGAGTCCCGTGCATTTCCGTACACCAATGAAATCCGTATCCTTATGATAAGCAAATAACTCGGCTAAAGATGCCAGTGGCAATTCAGGCCGAGGCCTCTGTGCCTCCACGCCTGGCGCTCATGCAAAGTCCAACAGATCTCTCCCGCCAATGTTCCGCAAGACGGAGTCCAGACTTTTTCCTCATTCGAAGATAAATGGCTGGGGGGGCAACAAGTATACAGAGAGGTTTGCTCGTTTTGGTTCGAGTGCAGAGCATGGAGACTGAGGGGTAGTTGAACACGAGCACAGATTTCTGGACTTTTATCATTGATTATATACCTTTACATTTACATGCGTAGATTATCTTTATATCTAATAGCATTGATATGTTTAGTATGGCTTTAAACTTTGTTTGTTCACGAAATCTTGTTCTAGAGAACTTTCAAGGCGGTTTGCTTCATATTGTACTGATTATTTTCTCAATTGTAGTTCCACGATTTAATGTAATTAAACAGTTTAGACCATTTGTGATGCTAAAAATCTTCCTCGTCATTATCATCAATATAATCACCTAATTTATGGATTGTTCACTGTTCTCCTTAGTAAATGTTCTTGCAGATAGATGGCTCCTCAAGCTCATCTTCCGAGGAGTCGACTAAGAGGCCCTGGTGACAGCCCCTGACTTTCCCTTTCCTTGAATTTTCTTTTCTTATGAAGTTATTACTGTCAATACTCTTATTATTATTGTTATTGACAGTGTCATTATTATAAAGTTATTAAGATACTAAGAACAATAAAAATGATTATGTAATAAAAATTAATCTTTCCGAAAATCAAGTAAAAGATAAACAGTTCAGAGAGATAGATCTACTGACGGACTCCATCTCAAACATAATTAATAAAATAAAATTGCCGTGGACATAGCACGTGTTTTTGCCCTCTGTAGTCTTCTCTTCATATCAAATATTGAGATTAGATTTTGAAAATATATCTGGCTGCACATCCAAGGTATCACTTGTCATTCACGTTATTTGTGGTATAAACTAGAAGACTGATAAACTCCCACGTATGAAAATTATCTATTTTACAGTTTATAAGACTTCAGGTATAAGGTACTGTGAGATCATATATCCTTTGAGTATTTCATATAAATACCTTAAAATATCTCAGCAAGAGTAAAGATTTACTGATTCAACTGTGACTAGAATGCCATTTTTTCCTCTTCCTCCTATTGAGGGAAATAGGAAAGGACTTTCAAAAAGCCTTATGTGAGCTTTATCAATATTTATTAGTATTAGTCATATGTAATGTTTTCACTCATAGGTTTTCATTTGTTAGCCAAAAACTGCCATAGCTGAGGTCAAAAAAAAAAAAAAAAATTGGGTAAAAGTCAAAAAGAGAAATGCAGAGTAATATATCAAACAATTGACAAGGCATCTAAACCCTAGGCCTGCCAGTTACAGCCAGCTGCCAGCTCGTGTGTGATAGAAGCCACAGTCTTGTTGCAAAGACTCTTGGAGGTCGGACCTCTTGTCTTGTTACCTAAGCATCTCTCTCTCTCTCTCTCTCTCTCTCTCTCTCTCTCTCTCTCTCTCTCTCTCTCTCTCTCTCTCTCTCTCTCTCTCTCTCTCTCCCCCTCTCTCCTTCCTCTTCCTTTTCCTTTTCCTCTTCTTCTTCCTCTTCCTTCATCCTTTCCTGGCTTTCCATTCTCTCTCTCCCTCCCTCTTCACCTCCTTCCTGTTTCCTTCAATTCTCTTTCTCTTCCTTCTCTCCTTCCATTCTCTCTCACTCTCTCGCTCACCCTCCTATTTTCCTGCCCTCTCCTTCCCATTTTCTCTCCCTCTCCTATCCTATCCCTCTCCTATCCTCTCCCCCTCCCCCTCCCTCTTAAAATTATAAAATTTGATAGGATTTGAAATGAATCCAGAAATAATTGATATTGTTTCATTAAGAAAATGTATTAGGAAATATAAACTAGCATTATTGCTAGGATAAGTAATTAGGTAATTGAAGTGATTCATTAAATAAAGTAGACACAGAAGGTCAGATGTAATGTTGATGGCTTGGGCTCAGGTTTAAAGGGAAGACTACAGTTAAGAAAATTCAGGTGTAGGGATTTGATTGTACTTACAGCTGACTGTCTCTGACCAGCGTTAGTCAAAAGGAATCGGCCTTGAAAAGAATATTTTGCTAATCTGATTTAATGGAACACAAGCATGTATTTTGCTGGGAAAAAACATTGCAGTATCATGAAGGGAAAGGAACCGTATGAGAATAGCTTAACAAATGCACTTTTTCTTGATTTTATCATATTTGATTTTTCAAGATTGTAAAATGCTTCTTTGAAGTATGAGGAGGTTTAATAGACATCAGAAAAGTTATCTGTTGCATAACCCATTGGTACTGGGAACTTGTGCTGTGCACAGTCTGTTTTGCGAAATGTGTTTCCACAGATGCTGTCACCAAAGAGTCAATTTGTAAACCTACAAGATTCTGCTAGATTTCCACATTCCTTAGTTGTTTTTTTTTCTGATTCTAGTGATATAAATGCTATTGTTATTATTGTTGTCAAAACAGGTGATTGACTCCTTGGTTAATAGGCACTTGTTGAACCGTCTATGTGTAAATACAGTTGATAAACTAAACTCACAGTAGATATGCTATGTATGTACATCCTCAGGAACAGTGGGTTGAAAATCCATGCAGACAGTAGCATACTACATACTTTTCAGTGTTTGTTAAATAATATATTAGCTGTTTGAATGTTTGATCATTTATTTTTATTCTCATTTGACTTTAGTCACTGAAATCTGATAGTTTAACAACAAGGTTCAGTGTCCATTGGTGAATAAAGAGCAACAGAGCTTAGCAGTAAAAATGCACTCAAGGTAGCCTGTAAGTATGTTTTTCTCCAAATCTTAAAAATGTATTTTGTCAACAATATGATAATGGACAACAAGCTTCTATGAGGATTGAGATTATGTTAGAAAAAACAGTTAAGACAACATTCTCTCCTCATGGTATTGCACAAAGAATTAATTTATTAGAGGGAGAGACAAATGGCAACAGAGTCTGAGATTTGGACAACTGCAGCCAGGCAGACACTAAATGAAGCCATAGGAGCATTCTGCTGCAACGTCCTAAGTACTAGTGCCAACCACAGTGACTGATTCATAATACCAAGATGTGAAGGCAGCTTCAAGCAAAAATATCAATGAATGCTATTCTTCCATTATAATTATTTTGTGCTTTATCATGCCATAGTGATTTTACGATACCATGATTGTGATATTTCAGTAAGATATCACATTTTGATAGGAAATTATATAAAATATTAAAACTCATTCTGTCAAAGCCTTAGTTTAGTGGGCTTGGATTTTATCAGCACAAAGCTATTGGCTGCTTACACATCTTTGACATGTACATACATTAACAAGCAGTCCTACACTTAAAGGATAAAATGAATTTACTGTTCTCCCATATTCATCCACATTTACATCCTTTGTATAGATTTAAAGTGTTTATTTGTCCTCTGAATAATCATAGAAATTCTTTGTTCTTCTTCCAGGAGATGCGGGCCGACAGAATGGACACAGTGATGGCGTTACATCATCCATGGCAATACAAGAAAATGGCACAGAGGATACATCTCTTGGACTGAAGCGAGCTGCAGCAGATGGCGACGCTGACATTGACCAACAAACAAATGGTAAAGTTGTACTACCAAATACCCAGTGTGTGATGCATAGTATAGTGAATATATATTTGTATTCTCTTCTATTGATTTTTATTTACATATCTGCAACTTTGAGTACATTATTTTACACAGGATTTTAGTGTGAATTATTCCTTTTTCATTCTCTGCCACTCAGAGCCAGCATCAAAGAGGCGCAAGACTGGCCCACCACAGCCAAAGAATCCAATCAGTACTCTCAATGAGCTGCGTCCGGGATTAGTGTACAAAACATTAACAGTTGAAGGCCCTTCCCATGCGCCTGTTTTCACTGTAACGGTTGAGGTGAGTCACATCGGCCTATCTTTATCTGTCATTCGTTTGTCATTTCTACCTTCATTCATGAATTCTCTTTTTTTTTTTTTTTTTTCCTTCTTCTTTTTCTTTCTTTCATTCTTTTCTTTTCTACTTTCTTGTTTTTAGGATATGTGTAAGTTTCTCGGATTTGTATATATGATATTGTAATGTTAAAAGACGATTAACAAATCATGAACCCTGAATATATTTATAATTTTTTATATTTTTATTTATTCTTATCATTTTTTTTTCTTTCATTTATTTATAACTTTTAATAGAAATTAACCCATACATAAAGGGATATTCCTTTCATGTCATGGCAGACAATCCTTCATGTCAGAAAAAAGATGTCACATCATGTGAGGTCAAGCTTGTTACAAGTTGTTTGCACAAAACAATAGTGTGTTTGTTTGGTTCCGACTACCTTCTTAAAGGGAAACTGTCCCTCAAAAGTTGTCTTCACGCCTCTTGGTAGCCTCATTATTTAAAAAACTCATTTATGCCGCAGCCAAAGGCACAGTTAAAGGGGTGGTTTTTGTTATGTTTCCCTCACAATTGATAGAAGTGAAGGTACCTGAAAATCGGGATTTAAATTACTCACAATGGAATGCATAGAAAATGTAAAAATATAGATAAATACATAAATATAAATGAATTGACCAATCGGTAAAAAAAAAAAAGCTAGAGATTCAGTTCCTTAGAGAAGAAGTGATTGAAGCAGTTCTGCAGCCCTACAGCCAAATATTTGTCCTTCCACAGCTGAATGGCCAAATATTCCAAGGCACGGGCCGCAGCAAGAAGCAGGCTAAGCACTCTGCCGCTGAGGCCACCCTGAGATCCTTCCTCCAGTTCCGGAATGCCTCGGATGCTGCTCAGGCGCTGGGACTCAATTCGTCGGGAGTGCAGGACTTCACCAGCGATGTTTCAGAAGTCAGTTTTGGGTCAAGTTCAGCACCTGGTGTAAGTCACCTCCGTTGGCATGTCCTTGGTTTATGGTTGTGTTAAGAGGTGAACATAACAGGTCCTTAACGTGACTTTTGTCTTTTTGCTCTGTTGTAATGATCACTATGGCAAAGACTCATTAAAGTGTTATAGGTATGCATAGGCAGGTGATCTGGTTGAAAGAGACATGAAATTAAGGAAAAATGGTGTGAGAGAGAGAGGGAGGGAGGGAGGGAGAAAAGATGAGTGAATGGATGAGAAGGAGAAAGGGAGGGGACGGGGGAGAAAAGATGAGTGAATGGATGAGAAGGAGAAAGGGAGAATAAGATAGTTCATGTAAGAGGGAGAACAGTAAAAGGAAAAAATCAGTTAAAGGCAGATGAAAAAGAGAGAGGGTCAGGAAAGAGGGAGATGGGGAAAATAGTAACAGCAAATTAGGAAGAGAGTATGAAAAAGAGAATGAAAAGGATGGGGAGAAAGAGAGCAAGAATCAGTTGAAAAGAGGGGAGAATAAGGGAATGACTGAAAATCCAAAATGCCACATGTTGCTATGGGTATGACTGATCCAGACAAACAGATCCCTCCAATAGCACTTTAAAGAGCTTTTGTTGTAGGAAGAATCCTCTTGAAATGTCTACAGTGAGTCTGATGCTTACCATAACATGATAAGTTTTTGCCCTCAGTGCAGTCGACCCATTCCGAAGCTGGCTAATTTGGCACATATTTAGGCTTCAATCCATCACTCGTGTGACTAAGTAAATATACAAGTAAGCTCCCATAATGAGTAAGGGCATTGGTTGTGGGATCTCCAGACAATTTGGGGTTGAGGTTCCAGTAGCCGTCCATAAGTGGGAGATTGTACTGCATTATCCTTAGCTGGTAAAATGTGGATTGTAACATGTTGTCAGCTATATCCAAGATAACATTATTAATTTCCATAGTAGGATTTAGAGGGTAGTATATCTTCATGCATTGTTATCTTTATGAGAATTGCTAGGCTTCTAGACTTTTCTTTGGTGTTAAGCACGTGATTTTCATGTGATGAAATTGTAGTGCCTTCTTGTCTCTTTCTGCATCTATGATAGATTTCTTTGCCTTTTTCAATTGAATGGATGTTTAGAGATTAAATAATATGGTTTTACTTTCTGAATACATAACTTTTGATATCACTTTTGGTATACTTTCATGATATAACAATTTCATATCAGGTGTGTGTATGTGTGTGTGCATGCGCTGCTACATGTGTGAATGTGTGTGTGTGTGTTCATTGTTTGTTGATCCAGCTATTTGTGTCTATTTGGCATGAGAGAAAGAAAGTGAATCATGTGTGTGTGTTTTACTCTCAGTCTCAGTTTCTGGCTATTGTGTATGCATGTGAGTCTGTATGTATATATCATGCAGATAAAACATACCATGCTCTTCTAGCATAGGTGCTGTATGTTTCTCTTGTGTCTCATTTAGGCTTCGTAGTGCCCTCTACACTATGTGTGTTAAAGATTTCTGCTCTATTTATTTTCCACACTTTCTTTCCAATTTCCTTAGCATGAACATTCTTAAAGATGTTTTAGAAAGTAATGTTAAAACTTTTCAAAACAGTTCATGGACTTAGCTAAATTGTTAACCTATTGTGTGTAATTTCCAAATGAGCGTTTTTCACAGGAATTTTTTTGGAAGGCCTCCACTTTCATTTTATTCCTATGTCCCTTTGTTTATAGCTTTGCAGATAGCAAAAACCATGAATTGAACATCCTTTCTCTTATACTTTGTAAAATGTGAATGCTATAATGGTGGTGGTGTTCAGTGCTTGTTAGTGAGTGAAGTTCTAGGTTCCTCTTGCTAAATTTAAAGGACGTTGATGTATTTTCTAGTTCAGTTTTTTCCGGAGATGGTTCAGTTGTAAGACAGCTTTTGGTCCTGCCTTCTTCCTTACCCTACTTGCCCATGCTCAGTCCTAATCATGCTGATGGGGGCTGTATATTTGTTGGTTGCAAAAGTGGTGGCGTGAAGCCTGGTGCCAAACCCTCTTTCGGAACGGCCTTGTGCCGTCTTAAGGGTGCCAGTGTTATGGCTTGCAGGAGACGATACCAGCGGCAGCAGGCAGTAGGCCGGTGCCAGTTGCAGAAGCATCCTCCCCGACCCCAGCATCAACTCCTTCAGCGTCGGCAAGCCCTGGTCCATCTCAGACTTCCAAGAACCCGATCATGCTTCTTAATGAGTTGAGACAGGGAGTGGAGTATCAGCTGAAACAAGAATCGGGGGAGCCACATGCCAAGACATTTACTTTCCAAGTTACTGTGGATGGCCAGGTTTTTGAGGGCACTGGTAAGATTATGCAGCTCTACATGCTCAGGAACAGTTTCACATTGTTTCACTAGTAAAGAGAGAATGTTCTTTTTATTTGTTCCTATATGTATTTCTGGGTAACCTCAGCCTGTTAAGCATTTTTTATTTTTTTATTTTATTTTATTTTTTATTTATTTTTTTTTTTTTTATTGTTATTATTATTTTTGTTTTTTGTTTTTTTTTAGATGCATCTAGCTATTTTTGTATGTTGAATGAGTATAAATGTATTCATGGGAGCATGTATTTTAATTGAATCTTTTATATATAATGTTTGTCAGCTAATGAATATATGAACATTTACATTTTACATTCTGCATTTCATTATATTATTGTGCATGGAATTATGACAGCAGCAGTGTTACATTAAGTAGGATAGATGTATATTCACCAAATAAAGGTTTATGTATCAACAAGAAACAAAGGGTAAGTAAACAATTTTTTGTTTTTGTTTTGGTAAAGATTATTTCACTTTCATGTAGCAAGTTTTGGTCTTTTACTTGTTTTCCCCTTTTTCTTTCACTTATTATAAAATTTATTTTTGTGTGCAAGGTGGACCTTTTACATGTTACATGGAGAGTCAGTGCTAATGGCCAAAGTTTTGTAAGAGAATCCGTAAATGAACAAATAAAGTCAAGATGAGGGAAGCTGTAAGCCAAACGTCACGCCTTATCTCTTTATCTCAAGTGGAAAATAGTGGTAATAAGAAAGAATAAACTGTGATGTTTCCAGCTGAACTAAACACCTCACAAGTTGGTTTTATCAGCTGATGGGGAGTGCAGTTTGGCTTGACATTTTACAAGTTATTGTTCTTTTCTTATTGTGGTTGTGTTTTCAAGTCATTTCTCTATATACATTACATTGCTTGTATTCTGGTAAGTCAGTATTCCAACACACAAGAGAGAGCTATATGCTTTTTATAGTAAGATACAGTATTATTTAGACCAGATCGTGTAGAGAAAGTAATACCTTATAATGAAATTTACAATTGATAATCTGGACTTTACACAAGAATGTTAGAGTAAACATCAGACTGGGAAGAATATTTGGCATATACATCAGTAGTAAAAATTAAATACATGAACAAGAAAAGATATATGCACAGTAAAAGTATCCACTGCTTAAAATATGGTTTCCGTATTAGATGTAACAAAAAAAATTATACTACAGTTGCATTTGGAAGAATTAATTATAGTGGGCCAGCATGAATGGTTGTCACAGAATTCATTCATTTTCTCTCTCTCTCTCTCTCTCTCTCTCTCTCTCTCTCTCTCTCTCTCTCTCTCTCTCTCTCTCTCTCTCTCTCTCTCTCTCTCTCTCTCTCTCTCTCTGTCTTCTCTCTCCCTCTCTCCCTCTCTCTCCCCCTCTCTCCCCCTCTCTCCCCCTCTCTCCCCCTCTCTCTCCCTCTCTCCCCTCTCTCTCTCTCCCTCCCTCCCTCCCTCCCTCCCTCCCTCTCTCTCCTCTCTCCTCTCTCTCTCCTCTCTCTCTCTCTAGCCTCCGGGCTAGTACAATGGTAACGTGTCGGCCTCTCATCCGAGGGGTCGGCGGTTCGCGCCCCGCCCAGGCGCGAGAAGTTGCAATTGTCGCCTGGAGGTTACTGCTGTGGCCGGGCACTACGGTGGGTAAGGACTAAGCTCACCCGAGTCAGCACCTGCTGACACACTGATAGCGAGTCGACATACGTCGGCACAGGCCGGGCTCCCCCATAGCCCGGGCGAGGTCCACAGCTTCGCATATCGGACTTATCCTTTATCTCTCTCTCTCTCTCTCTCTCTCTCTCTCTCTCTCTCTCTCTCTCTCTCTCTCTCTCTCTCTCTCTCTCTCCCTCTCCTTCTCCCTTTCTCCCTCTCTCTCTCCCTCTCTCCTCTCTCTCCTCTCTCTCTCTCTCTCTCTCTCCTCTCTCCTCTCTCTCCTCTCTCTCCTCTCTCTCCTCTCTCTCCTCTCTCTCCTCTCTCTCTCTCCTCCTCTCTCTCCTCCCTCTCTCTCTCCTCTCTCTCTCCTCTCTCTCTCTCTCTCTCTCTCTCTCTCTCTCTCTCTCTCTCTCTCTCTCTCCTCTCTCTCTCTCTCTCCTCTCTCTCTCTCTCTCTCTCTCTCTCTCTCTCTCTCTCTCTCTCTCTCTCTCTCTCTCTCTCTCTCTCTCTCCTCTCTCTCTCCTTCCCCTCTCTCCCCTCTCTCCTCCCTCCCTCTCTCTCTCCCTCCCTCTCTCTCCCTCCCTCCCTCCCTCCCTCTCTCTCTCTCTCTCTCTCTCTCTCTCTCTCTCTCTCTCTCTCTCTCTCTCTCTCTCTCTCTCTGTCTTACTCTTTCTCCATCTCTGTCTATCTCTCTTTCCCACATGTGTTTATGTGCACACCCATGTGTATTTACACCATATACATAAAAATGCCCTTGTTGTATCTTGAGTTTTCATCTTACATGAAGAACTTGATCTGTCTCCTTCTCTGGTGGAATGAGTCTTAAATCTATAATAGCAAATTGAGCTGTCAAAGGTCATTTTAGTGACTGAAATCTCTGACTAATTTATAAAGGACACTTATTTATTTTTGTAAAGCAGTGTCAAGATGAATTAGTTTTACAATGCATATGGCAATGGACTGGTAACAACATATTTGTTTATCAATATTTTATTCAGATGCCAATGGTACTGGCATTTGAGATTGGATGATGAGGGTTAAGTTATTAAAGTTATTAAGATTTATTATCCTACATAATTGATCTTTACATAAGTAGTTGCGTATTAAAACACTTCTTGGTAGTCTGCTGTGTGAAAGTGTAAAAGTAAAAGTTATTTCTGATTTGTATTTCCCGTGGTTTTACTTTTTGTTCTCCCCTTTCTTTTGAATGTGGTATTCTAATTTATCATTTGTGGTCATTATTGTTTGTATTTTGTTTTTTATCTCTTTGTATGGCCTCCCTACTCAAAAAAAGAAAACATGCAGTTATTCAGTAGTATTCAGCATCCTCCATTTATATGTAGAAGAAAAGCTTTAAGCACTTGTGTTTTCATGAAAATCAGTATCACTTGCATGCTAAGATATCTATTTTTTCTTCAAAGCCATTCCATTCTACCTCTGTGTAACTTTCCTTTAACAAGTTCTTTACTTGAATCATTTTATTCTCTGAGTGCAGGTGATGAATTTTGAATGTCAAGAAAAATGCTATAATGCAAGCACTCATCACTCTCCATTGTAAGTGAGCAAAAACTGTGATTTGATTTGATTTGATTTGACTTTTTTCCACATTTACAACATTTCTGACTCCTCAGTCATTATTTTCACAGGACAACACTTGCATTTTTTGTATGTGTGTGAATTAAAGTAAACATCATTCTAAGGTTATCTGTTCAAGCCAAGTCATTACCTTGTAAAAGGTATTCTGTTAAGAACGATGTGGCTCTGAAGGAATATTTTACGAGATAGGAGATTATTAACATTTCAATTTAAAATTTCTCCTCAGAAAGCCATGTGACAAAGATCTTGAATCAAAACATTCTATAGCATTTGGCTTGAGAATTTATTCACTCTCCTTCACACACATTTCACATTAAAGTTTTGTCAATTTTACAATTTTTTGATAGAGCCAGAGAATTGCTTGTCAGTATGTTGCTGAGGTCCCCTCTCCAAGTTCATTGATTGAGCACCTTTTTAGCTTCATGGATTTTCTTGTCCCATGTTATGCAGATGGCAGCTATTTTTGTCTTTGTAATGATGATAGTAGGCCTGCTGTGGGCTGGTTATAGAGTTGACTAATGTTACCAGGTACTTTGTTGACTTGGGTATTTATATATAAATATTTCTCAGCAGTCATGGTACTGATTTAGTCATAATAATGATTTGCATGTGTGTTCTCAATTCATTTTAATCTTTGTTTATACAGGGATTTCACTTTTTGTTATAGGGTGTACTTTATTTCCTCTTTCTTCTTTTTATGTATATCTTTGTATATGTTTTTTTCCCCCATTATTAACCCTTTGGTGCGGGGGATATGGACTGCCCCTGTATTTTTTTGTCAAATTTGTTTATGCATAGATTACTCCATAAGGAGTCAATTATTAGGGCTACCTCTCCACATCTGTACACCATTTTTCAAGATTAGTACTGCTATTATAGTTATTGATAATAACATTGTTATTACTGACATATTCATTATTTAGGTATTAACAACAGCGATAGAAATAAAAACTTCTTTTTGAAAATTAAAGAAGTAGGGTGAATAAATGAATAAGTGACTCCTTGATGACTAACCACATGTAGAACCATCTGTGTGTAAACAAAATTGA